TAATAACTTATCCGTAATTTTGTTTATACTAAATTCAACTTATTCAATATCTTCAATATCGTATTTAACAATTGTGTTAGTATCGATACCTGTTATTTGAAATAAATATGTTAATAATTATGTAAAAAGAAATAAATGAATGAAAACAAGAAAACTTTTATTTATCATTAACTCTAAATCTGTAGAATTATGTACACAAATATAAATACACATAAAAGCTAGATCACGCATTTATCGACGATCAATATCAATTTCTATTAAAGATGTCTCTTCATTCGAGAAGAAATCAAGGAAGAGGAAAAGGTCAGGACAGGACAGGAACGAAAGGCATCAGGTCGAGACAAGACAGATATATTCTGTTCTGACATCTGACCATTAAAATAATTGTATATTTATCCTTAGAGTGTTTTCAGAAGGAGACCGTTATATGAACATTATATGTTTTTATGCGCGACTCTTCATTGAAACATCGTTGAATTAACAACAGATTTACTTTTCCAATGACAATGGCGACTTTGCATGAGAAGCATTTTTGTTCATCCAATGTATCTATAAGCGCTGTGTTCTTTGATCTGGACAATACTCTCATCGAGACTAGAAAGGGCGACAATCAAACATGTCGAAAGGTACGCTAAAATATTTGAAATTATATTGATATTAAAAGCCGTATACGTGTATATAAACGGTCAGTATTGGTTAAAATACTGGAAATACATATGTGTGTGTATGTCTTTCTTAGAGAGTGCGCGAAAACTGTAGTTAATCTTTCTCTCGAAATTAAATGAAAAGTCGCTCATATTGCTAATTTACTTATAATTTTATACATTTTTTTTTTGCTTTTATGTGGTACTTCTTTTACTGTTTCAAAAAAAAAGTATCTCGTAGTAATTACATTTACATTTACGTTTAATCTTTCAATTCCGTTTGGATACGAAGATGGTACGAAAATAGAAGCTTCTGTGTAATACGAGCTGACTCCCTGATATAGTGCTTTCTCTCGGACGGTTATTTTCGACCGATCCTACTGCACTGTCCAGACACTCAACAGAACGTAGAAAAAGCGTGTAAGCACGTTACTGAAGATATTCACGATTCACGATCTTAAGATACCAGTTAATTGTACTATTACATTCACATGCTATATCATGTGGAGAAGGTTATGGTAGAATGGTAGAATTATGTGTACTTTCAAAATTCTTTTCCAATGAAATTTTGTAAAATGTGGTTATTCTAAACAGCTTTTTATGTTATTTTCTTTAATACAAAACTTAACATAAGCAGTTAATATATCATATTTCTACAGTAAAATAAAACAATTCTTTGAAGGACGCTGCTAACCTTGTATTGAAAATAATTCATATTTTAATGTTAATGTACACATGTTTGTGGAATTAATGTTTGTGATAGTACAACTTTATTTCTGTCTGACTAAGTGAGTGTGTCAAAGGGCAAGGCTAGTTTTAAGGGGCTTGATCTGGGAGTACTGCCAGTTGGCTTTTAGCTGTGACATGTGAAAGATGCAAATCTCAGTGAATCTTTGTTAAATACTACTGAGTAAATATCAAAATTCTGGAATTGTTTGTGAATTGCATCTAGAAGTTTGTCATCGTACGAGAAAAAATAAAAGTAGAAAAATACTTGTAGATTATAAAAATAGATATTTTTTTTCTTTAAATTATAACAACATAAACTACAGCCATGAGTATTTCAAAGAACGTGAAAAAATATGAAACTATTTTGAAGTCTGTTGAAACTGATTCAGAAAAATTTGCTGCATTATTTATGATAACAAAATTGGTGGATAGCAAAGATTGTACAGTAGCAGAAAAAAAAGTGTTATTTGAAGCTATTGGAAAAAAATTTTTGGCGAAATTATTATCTACAGAAGTAGTTCCTGTGGATTGTCCTCCACAAGTATATAAGTCTGTAGCATTGTCTATACTTTCTGCATTCTGTGGAGAATCAGAATTAGCTTCTCATCCTGACATGATTACTCATATACCTGCATTACTTGAAATTATATCGCAAGCCGATGAAGATGCAGATGATAATATGTTAATTATTGTTAGTGAAGCATATACCTGTCTGCAAAATATTGCACAATATTCTCCTGGGCAACAAGTTTTACTTGAACAGAAAGCAATTACAAAAATGTGTGATATTTATTCAGAAAAAAGCTTTCAGACAGACCAAGCTTTGAACATTTTAGTTACTTTAGTTCAGAGATTTGGTCCAGAAGCATGGGATGCAACAGATACTGCACCTTTCCATGTTATTATAAATAAGATTGCATTAGATTTTGAAACAGATCATACAGAAAGAAAATTTCAGTTATGTACAATTTTGCAAGCTTTACTAATGTCCTGCAGAAAAAACATAATTAGTGAAACTGCTAAAGAAGAATCTTGGCCTTCTAGCATTCACAAGGCTTTATCTGATATTCTTGGATCAAAGATAGGCAAAAATCAACGCGATCCAGCACTAAAACTTGCTTCTGTCATGCTAGATTTATTGGGAGCAGAATGGACTTTATTAGATAAAGAAAAACCAAAAGTATTTTTATTATTATTGATTCAATTGGCATCTATAGAAGTTAGAATGCAAGTGGAAGGAAAACAATTAAAAACTATAATGGCAAATGCAGACTTAGTTACATCTTGTTTTATTATTATTGAAATTTCTCTTGGATATATTACTAATGATCAATTGGACCTAGACCAAAAAGAAAAACAGTCATTATATACTGTTTTAAAGGGAGCCTTTGCTGCAATTATAGGTTTACTTACAGCAGTATCTAAGATGAAAGAAATAACAGATGTCAAAGAAAAAATATTTATTTGTGCTGTGGTAAGAGTATTAGCAGCATGGCTTGCTCAGGAAACAACAGCTATGCGTTCTCAAGTTTATGCAGTTTTACCATATGTATTAACAGTAGCCAATGACACATTTTATGCACACAGAAATAGAAAATTGTCAGAGAAGGCTAAAGCAAATGCTAAAATTAAAAGCGATGAAGCAACATCATCTGGAGAACTAGTTACTCATGATCCTTTAAGTGAAATTGATTTATTGAGACTTTTATTACCAGCATTGTGTTATTTAGCTGTAGAAGAAGACGCTAGAAAAATCTTAATTAAACACAAACAAGAGGAAGTCCTGTTTGAATGTTTATCTTACCATTGGACAATTGTTCATCATAAAAAGCCACCAATACCAAAATCAGAAAGATTAAAAGCATTGAAAGAACCAGAAAAAGAAGAAGATTTAGACCTTCATATATCAGAAGCAATCAAAGATTCAAGGGTGGCCATGGTCTCTGTGTGCAATGTTTTAATGAACATTACTGTATTAGAGGCAAAATTAGTGGAAGAATCACCAACATTTATTTCTTTATTAAAATTTATTTTCAATAATCTCCCAGAACTTAAACAAATTCCTGAAAATCTAGTATTGCACGGTCATCTTGCAGTTTTGGGATTGCTGTTATTGAAGCAACAGGCAACACGTGTCAAGAAAAATGATTTTTCTATATGTCGATATATTCAGGCTACTATAAGATTTTTGTGGGATGCATATATAATTGATGAAAGCAATGATCCCACTGAACTTGTTGTTGCTATGTCATATAAAGAGCGATGGATGGAACTTATGGAACTATGGTTTCTTGGAATGCAAACAATGGCTGGGGTGTTACAAGTTATACCTTGGCTTTCACAATTTACTCTTGAGTCAGGTTGGGCAGAAGAAATTATTGAGATTCTCAAGAAAATAAAAATAGGAAGTCTTCAGCCAAATGTAAAGTTTGCTTTTGAAGATCTTTTGTGCCATTTAGTTAAAGCAGATGAAAATGTTGCTTCTGTTTTGAAGAAATGTGGGGCTTTAACAGTATGCAGAAATCATCGTATGATGGAGCTGGGAAAACATCTTTTTGGAGATTAAAAACAATCCAAAAATTTATATCGATATTTTATTATCATGTTTTAAATGAAAGTTCTATATATCTGTACATTGATAGAATAGCCAAGATACTTAATCCATTCTTATGTTGTTAAGTAATATGTTTGTTTGTGTATACGTATTACACACGTTTCCTTTTTTATATTACGCTATATTGCATATGAAAGAAACTATTAATAACTCTTATTTCATCAAAATAACACTCATATTTTGATTTAGTGATTCAGTTTAGCTAAAATTTTGTAAACCTGTATACAATCACAGATCAGATATAAATGTAATCATGTCTGAAAATAGCTTTCTGGCAAGCAAAAGAGCTACTAAATGTTTGTATGAGTTAAATAGATTTAGAAATTTAAATATTGAAATATATATTAGAAAAAACTATTTTTACATTTTATATTCATTTATAAAATATTAGAAAATTTGTATAAGTTAAATTTGGAATTAATACAGTTTGTGAATGTATATATGAAAAATTGCTTATGTATAACAAATGGCTTTGTAAAATAATAAATGGTCTTTCTACTAAAGAAATTGTTTTTAAAAGTATTTTATCTTTTAAATTATTCCCTACTTTAATATTAGAAAATTACATTAGATAAACTTTTCAATCATGTGAGAATTATCCCTTATATTGCATTTAATATATGGCATAAAATCTGCAAAAATAGGTATAAATGTTAACATCCAACAAACATTTGAGTAAAGTTTTTAGGGTTGGAGTAATATAAATTTGTTGTTGGCACAACTGATTTTGTTGTGATTACAGCAACGACCGCGGGTGCCACTTCGAGTGTCCACTAATCGGCTCGAGTATTTCAATGAATCAATGCATTTTCTAGGTAATCATCAAAAACTGAATTAAGTGACCTAAGTTCCTAACTGATCGTTTGTATCCTTTCTCCCAAGAGCTTGGTTCAGCCATCAAAATCCACATTCGATGAATGGTTATTTTTCACTTTCAATATGTCAATTATTCCTTATAAAATCTATTTTTCACATTTATCATTTTTCCCAGTTATCAAAACATACTATAGATCATGTTGAATGTGGAAATCATTCATTTTCCTTTAGTGCGTACTTTATATTTTGTTCATTATTTTATAATATTGCTTGATTTATGTATTATAAAGTGAAAAAAATGTCTAATAGGTGGTATTCTAACTTTATCTGCAGTTGGCTGAGGAACTAACACAAGAATATGGTATTCCTGAAGATATATCTGTGAAGATTACAACAACATATTTGAAGCTCTTTAGAAAATGTCCTGATAATGTAATTCACACCTTGGATGTTTGGCGTATAACTTTATGGAGTAGAGCACTCGGAGAAAAGTACTCATATCTAGCAAAAAAAATTTACGAGCGATGGTTATGTCTACGATATTATTATTTGGCTCTGTCGTCAGATATAGTTTCTATGCTGCATCAATTGAGGTTAAAATACCTCTTAGGTTTGATTACAAATGGTCCATCTAATGCACAATGGGAAAAAATACGAAAACTTTCACTAGAACAATATTTCGATATAATTCTTGTATCAGGAGATTTACCATGGGAAAAACCCAAAAGGGAAATATTTCGAAAAGCATACCGATTTTTAAATGTTAAACCAGATAGTTGTGTAATGGTTGGTGACAAACTGGAAACTGATATCCTGGGTACTACATTATTGTCATATTTTATTTATCACGCGCATTAATTATTTACGAATTATTAGAAAATATTACATTCAAATATTGTAGAATAATCTTATTTGAAAATGTTATTTCAATCAATTAACATTATAAAGAAAATGATGCAGTTTAAAAGATTATTATTTTCCATATATAGGTGGAATAGAAGCAGGTCTAGGGTGTACAATTTGGATTCCGACATTGGATAAACCACCCTTATTAAGGGGAGATCCACAACCAGATTTTACTATAAGGCATGTCACAGATCTCTTAAGTATTTTAAACAGAAGTCCTGATGCACCAGAACTTGAAGATTCTTCTTCAAATGCGTCAGATGGTAGTTGATAAAAGGAGAGATTATTACTTCAAACTTTTCCAAATATTATAGCTGATCAGAGGTCACATTTTTATATAGAGAACTTGCTAATTATTTTCTCATAGTTAAGTAAATATTATTATTGTAACTATTATTATAGCATGCTTTAAAAGTGTCTTAAATGGCTCCTATATTATTTTTATCTTCATATTGAATAGAAAAAAATGAAATTGTTATTGAACTACAACATGATGATAGTGTTACTGCATTGAATTTCAAAAAGATATCATTTAAGTATATTTATTATAGATCTCTCTTTTACTAAGTTTTTAAATTGAGAATGAATTTTATATCATTTATATGAGATAAAAATTATATTTTTTAACTGAAAGAGTATTCTTAATTGAGAATTGTGTAATTGCTTTTAAATTTACTTGCTAGGTATATTACCTAACTTTATAATAAATTTTGGTTTTTACAGACAAGTTTTAGATAACGTTATAAATTGTTTATATATATGTAAATTTATTATAAGTAAGCACAAAGTAATTTGTATACAAAGTACAAACGAACATTTATATCCATATATTAATAAAAAAATTTAATAGGAGTAATGATAAATAATTTTTATAATTTTATAGCCAATGTACAATGTATGCATTAAATATAATGATTGTAAAAATGTATAAACATATGTTTATAATTATGAGATATATACATGGAATATGTGAAGAGTAAATACCACGAACAAATTTGATACACACACATATATTGTAACTATATAATACGTACATCTGTAACATATATTTTTCCATTATATATTTTATTTTGTGTTAAAATAATACGAACAGAAATGTTGAAGAAAGTTTTAAAAAACTGATAAAATGATAAATTGAAATGTAATACTTATTTTTAGTAATAAAAGAAAAAATAACAATATTAATCTTTTTTTCCTGATTGTAAAACGAATATTGTTATATTTACATATTGAATATATTTTATGAATTTTTACTTATTTTAATAGTTCAGCATTATATGACTATTATTTTTTACGTTTGTATATCTTTATGTCCTTCTGTTACAAAATCATCAGTCACAGAACTTTTATCCTGTTCATCTACTTTGTTTAAATCATAAGATTCTGTTAAATTGGTATCAAATTGATCGCTTTCTTCCATTCCATATTCATTGTTTGGTTTTATCATTTGGTTCTAAAAAAATATTATGTTAATAAGGCAATATATGTAAATTACATATTACATTTAATCTGTTGAACAAACCAATGATTTGCTTTTAAAAAAAAGTTTTCTACAAATTTTTCGAGCTTTTTCGGGATTGATGTCAGCTTCTATTAGTGACGTTAGAACATCTTTCTCAGTTATATGTAATTCGGGATTAGCATCAATCAATATGACCGATTTACTTTTAGCGCTTAGTGCATCACGCCTGATTTCGTCTAGTTTCTGATACCACATTAATTTTTTAAGTACTCTATCTTCATTTAGACCTCTTGCAGGCATCAGTGGCCGAATTTCAGAAATATTTAATAATTGCTGAGCATATACAAGATCTAATTCTTCTCCCTCTGAATTATCCGATATATTTAAAGCAAGTTTTAATTGATAAATCTCGTACAACATTCGCTTCTATTTAGAAACACAAAGTTTGTTATTTTATGCATTTAATATTATTTTATAAACTTAAGCGATAATAAGTGATATTATTCTGACCGTGTCTAGAATTGTTTTGTTTTCTTCAGTGTGTTTCTTAAATACTTCTTGTAGCTCTTCATCAGTATACAAACCATTGAGTATTATTTCATGTGTAATATCGTACATAAATTTTGCGTATTTCGCTTCTTCATCCTTTATATGTGCTTTTTGATCAATGAAGTCAGTACATAGTTGAGCGGTTTCATAATTTCTATGATTCCTTGATGTGCTATCTTCTGATGGAAGATGATTGATGTTTTGTGATAAATAATCACAAGTAGATTTATAATACATCGAATTTTTTTCTATTCTATATATATTTTTACGGTAACAAATAATTTATCAATAACAAATACCTATAATTTTAGTCAATTTAAATAACGAAGCAAATGTTTCTATTGCAAAATTTTATCTCACCTATCTTGAAATTTTAATGCAGTTTCCACACTTGTAGAATTAAAAATCTTTCTACAACTATTACTTGATTGTGAATAAGACTGTTCTCTTATATTTTTACTATTTGATGTAACTGGCTCCGAACTACCTGTTTTAAATATTGATGAACTTGGACAAACTACATGACTGTGAGATTTTGGTCGTGAACAGATCTCATTATAATCGGATAAAGGATTAGTAAAGTACTTCCGAGCTTCACACTGGCAGAAATACTTTGAGTCATAATTCATTCTTAAAAAATCCTGTTAATTAATCATTAAAAGATAATTTGATTCTATAATTTATAATTTTTGAATTGAATAATTTATAATTTCATTCCTATGTTATATTTCGTGCAAACTTCTCAGTAATCAGAAATGAGTTATATGAATAATTTACCATTGGATGATATGAGACATCATACGTCAATTTATCAATTACGTTATTTGTAATTTCAGTTTTTACAAATTGTGGTTTCCAATCTGTTTGTTTGCACATTTGTTTTTTTTTACGTATATAGCTTCTGTTTCTAGCATCAACGACACATTTTGCCAGTAAAATGCGTCGTAAGTGCGCGCTCATAGAGTTATATGCTGTTAATTGTTCATAATAATTTTGTCCATTTTGATTGTATGCTACATGCAATATAAATGTACGGGTTAAAAAAGAATTTTGTAAAATATATATCCTCCCAAATAATATAAAACATCGATATTTCGATCAAATTGGAAAATATGGAACAATGAAAAAAATACATTTTTCATACCAGTGCTTTTAAGATTAACTTCACTCTTATTGCATCTTGTCATTTCTTCAAAACTATAATATTATTACTTGTCTATTTTGGATCTTATTTCTAACTTGATGTACTAATTTAAAAAATAGTTAAAAGATGCTAAACAATTAATAAAACAACACTAACAAAAATTTATACCTTACTAATTACACATAAAATACTGTGAGGTACGTAACATATACATACAAGTTTAAAGTTGTTACTGTATGGTTACCAAGCAACAATATAATTCTTTACTTCGTACTAGATATGACTACAAAGTTTATCTCATATAAATTATGTAACAATTTATGCCTGAAACAATTTAATTATTTGTTTAATATTCCGACATAACATTATAAGTTACATTTGTTGTAAATATATACATATATGTATTCATTAATCTATATTACGTACTCATATTTTATACAATATATATACATATAAAATTAATGATAATTAAGTTCTGAACTTAAACATTGAAAAAAGGAAATTAATCATAAACAAGATACAATCTTCTTAAAATGCAGAGTTTTAATTATTATAAATAATAAACAGAATTTACAATTATTTCAGTAGTAAATGAATTACATTTAGTTTACAGTCTTTTTAATGTTATTGCTTGGAATTCTACAACGGTAAGAGTCACATACGATCCTGAATTCCGCGAAATCAATCGATGTTGCTGCACATGTTAATTTATGATCGCACTATATTTCTATAAAGATACCTAACGTATTTTGTCTGTGACTATATTTTGTTTATGATTGAATAACTTGAATTTATGTTTGTATCACAATTCTGTTATCTACAGCAGATAACTAAACTTTATATCAATTTTTTAATTTATTAATGTTTATAACCATAATAATACATTTTATATATGTATATAGGTATGTACATGGATTTATCAATATCTTTAATTTTAGTAAAAATAAATGCTGTGTAGAAGTCATAACGGTAAGTATGTAAGTACTTACGTATTTCATTTTTTAAGTAGTATGTGTTTATGTATGTGACTTATCATTTCTTTTGCTATCGCAGGTTTATTTGATTTGAATGATTCGTAGCAGATATGATATGATGTCCAAAAAGATTGGAGTCATAACCTAAAATTAGGCGTGTGCCAAGAATCGTAGATAGTAAAATATGCAAATAAAAAAAAGTTATTACAATGTATAATGTCTATGAGCAATTATCCATTAAAGATATAGCAAACTGGGTCGCCTCTGGAGCAATAATATTTGGTGGTATTATTCCCTATGTGCCACAATATAGAGAAATTAAAAGAAGGGATAGTGCGGAAGGGTTCTCCCTTTATGTATGCTTTACACTTTTAATAGCTAATACATTACGTATTTTCTTTTGGTTTGTACATTTACTTAATATAAAAATTTGTGGTTGTGTTGTATCAATTCATACTAATACAGGTCTGTATCTTTTACAGGTTTGGGAAACATTATGAAATACCTCTCTTATTACAAAGTATATGCATGATTGTTACTATGTTTATAATGATTAAACTGTGTATAAATGTACAAAGCAGAAATCAAGTAATAAAAGTTAGAGAACGTGTATTTTCAGGTATGTTAAGTACAGAGAAAAGGAAATAAATTTTTAACATATACAATAATGTATTTTCAAATTATAACTCATGTTAAATCTTAATTTAAACAGATTTTGATGCAAATTTTTTTTGGAAGTGGACAGATTTTCAATCTTACTTAGACTTTATGCTATTATTTGCTGTATTAATAGGAATTCTAACATATTTATTAGTGGATGTACCAATATTTGTTGAAACCATAGGATTACTTGCAGTATTAACAGAGGCTATGCTTGGAATACCACAATTTTTGCGTAATTTTTTTAATAAATCAACTAATGGAATGAGGTATAAAATTATAATTTAATAACAAGATGCGATACCTGAATAACATTCATAAAGTAAATAATTTTTCTGTTAATTTCAGTATTGTTATGGTTGCAATGTGGACATTAGGTGATGCATTTAAAACATGTTATTTTGTTATAAGAGAAGCTCCAATACAATTTGAAGTTTGTGGTACTCTTCAAGTTATAATTGATATTGCAATTTTAACACAGGTATATATTTATCAAAATAAAACAACAATACATACAAGAGTTCCAGTTCGAGTTGACTAAGTCTGATACTTTACATTTATGAATGCTGTAACATACTTTTTCTACAACTTCCATTAGCTAAAAAAATTTATCTGTGTTATAGATAAATATTTATGATTTTTTAATATATGTGCACTTGATTGTAAAAAAAAAAAAACAAGAAAAACAAGGTGAAATATATAATGTATTGTAAATAAGCATTTATCAAATAATATTTCTTATTTTCACTTAAAGGATGAACTAATATTTTTTTAATTATATTAAACTTTTAATATATTTTAATTGTATTACATATGTACAAATTTTATAAAATAAAATTTTGTTAATATAACGGGATTTCAATTTCAATTAAAAAATGGCATTTATTCCATTATGTATTTAGTTTGTATTAAAAAGCATATATCTTTCTTACTACTTTTATAACAGAACTATGTAATTTATATGTATCTTACATGTTTAAATATAATTGAAGATAAAGTTCAGTCGTCAATGTCACAGTCATATAAGTAGGTCTGAATTCTGGACACTTCCATGCCGAAAGCATAGAAGAAACTATCCAAAAATTGAGTCGTGAAAAATCAACATGGTAGACAAGAAAAATCAACATGGTCGTTCTGTGCATGTGCAACACACGTGTGTATATATATATACATATCATTGCAGAGACATTCTGCTCGTCTCTACTGCTTGCAAGAATGAGAATGTGTTGTCTTCCATGTTGATTTTTCACGATTCAATTTTCGAACTGTTTGTACTTATGTTTCGGTATATGAGCATTGAAACTTATTTATGTGGTCGTCGGCTGTAACTATTGGCTGCAGACTAGTGACACTCGACGGACAGACCATATATACTACATTCACAATGATTGGTTGTAGCTTTCAGTTCTAATTTACAGATTTTTTGAACACCTTTAAAAAATGATGCAAGTCAATATATCTGTCGGCTAAGCAGACTTCCAATTAAAATAAAAATACTGATATAACAAATTAATTGTTATTATTGATTATTATTTTTACGTAAACTTCATGATATAGATACTTACTGATTATACTGTTTGTGATTACAATAGTGACATTTTTAGAAGATTGATGTTAAATAAAAAATCTTATATTAGTTTCATAAAGAAATATATGTACGCGTGTTTTTTGTATTGTTTATTCGTATTTCTGTAAATGCAGTGTTAAAAAGTCGCTTGAAATAATTTTAAAGTCAGTTAATCTTACTGGAATGCATTTATTTCATTAGCTTTTTAGTCATTTTATACACGGTGTCATTAATATTTTTAATATTAATATTCATATAAAATATAATATTAATATTTCAAATCATATTATAAAATTTACAAATCAAATTTATTGTGTTAAAAGTAATTTATATCTATTAACCATAAGCTAAACGTTGTAATGGGAGAGAGTCAGTGGAATGATTGGAAACCTTTTATCTATGGGGGTTTAGCTTCGATTGTTGCAGAATTAGGTATGTGGTGTTATATTACAATAATTTTATTCTAAAAGTTTAATTATCTATCAATAACTTATTTACTCATCGTTTTTATAAATATATTTCTGGTTAGGTACTTTTCCTTTAGACACAACAAAAACACGTCTTCAAATCCAAGGACAAAAATTTGATCAAAAATATGCGCATCTAAAATATTCTGGTATGACAGATGCTTTATTTCAAATATCACAACAAGAGGGTTTTAAAGCTCTATATTCTGGGTAAAAAGAAGTTTGATTTATATACATATATATATATATATATATATATATATATATATATATATATTCAATATTTCATTTGGCTACTAGATAGGATTATTTTATTAGTACTAATTTTTTTATTATATAGGATTAGTTCAGCTATTTTAAGGCAAGCTACTTATGGAACTATAAAATTCGGTACCTATTATTCTTTAAAAAAAGCAGCTATGGATAAGTGGAAAACAGATGATTTAGTTGTTATAAATGTTATATGTGCTGCATTAGCTGGTGCTATTTCAAGTGCTATAGCTAATCCAACTGATGTAGTTAAAGTTCGTATGCAAGTAACTGGAATTAACTCAAATTTAACATTGTTTGGTTGTTTTCAAGATGTATATCAACATGAAGGTATTTGCGGTTTATGGAGGGTACGTAAATTAATAAATATAAATTTTAACAATATTTACATAATTTTATACACAAAAATTTGTATGCAGGGTGTGGGACCTACTGCTCAAAGAGCAGCAATTATTGCAGCTGTAGAATTGCCTATATATGATTACAGTAAAAAAAAGTTTATGGTTCTATTGGGAGATAGTATTAGTAATCATTTTGTGTAAGTAAACCGTATCTATATATTTTATTTAATTTTATATTGTTCTTTGATGACATTATATAAATAGATGTATATTATTGTATTAAAAATAGTTTATTTGAAAACAAGTATAAATTGTGTATTAGTCTTTCTTTTAATATTAATACGTAAATAATAAATAAACTCTTATCTGGGCTATTTCTGTTTATCACAAAATATTTATCACGCCATTATCATACTAACAAATGTTCAATAATGTTTTTAAAGCAAACATATTTCATGTGCTCTTTTACAGTATGTGATGTCATGTGAGTATATCTAAACATATCTTGTTTATTTTATGTTACAATTTCTTTAATAATGTTTATAATTTCTAATATTAGTATTATTTATTATATCTCCTAAATTTTTCTATCATATGACTTTGGTGATATACACATGATAAATATGTATAACTAACAAACAAAATTTTCTGTATTTTAATTTTGAATTAAATAACTCAAATAATTTTGACTTAGCAATATTAATAATATAGTGGTTTTATACTTAGTTAAAAAGGAAGTAACATTTTTCTAAAAGTGAAAAATTTTATTTCCAGGTTCTTTCACACTGTGGTGCACATGGGCACATTCTGTACGTGGACATTGAGATGACCACAGAGAATCAAAGTGGAAGTTATGTTTAATATTTCTTGTTTGTATATAAATTGTTAAAACTGTTATCCAGATGTCTAATCATCTTGAATTGCATAATCAATTGTTTCACTTACCATTTCATGCAAATTTATTTACAGAATTATATACAAGATTGAACACATAGTTTACTTTTGTTTTCTTTATTTTCTTTATGTATATTTTTTCTATGTATTGAACATTTTATAGTAAGTTCTAAAATATACCATACAGATCTTTTTTACAAGTTATAATATTGTAGATACCACATTGTATATTTGAATTTCAAGAGCCTGGATAAGGGTTGCTTTAATTTGGTAGAATGAAACAGGGCTTCAAAATTGTTATTGAATATACACATATGCATACTTACATATACATGTAATTATATACTTCAGGTCCAGTTTTATAGCTAGTATGGGAAGTGCAATAGCTTCTACTCCAATAGATGTTGTGCGTGTAAGTATAGTTAGTAAATATTTTATCATCTGTATTTACTTAAATTTACTTAAATTTACTGAAATGAAATTGTTACAGACACGTTTAATGAATCAAAGAAGGATACCTACCGCAAGTGGCATGTTACCACCTCATATTTATAATGGTAGTATAGATTGCTTTGTACAGGTATATATGGTTTAAAATATTATGTACATATATTTTTGTTCTTTTTAATAATATTATACGGATTTTATTTTTTTTGTAGACTTTTAAAAATGAAGGATTTTTAGCCTTATACAAGGGTTTTGTACCTACTTGGTTTAGAATGGGACCATGGAATATCATATTTTTTATAACATATGAACAGTTGAAACAATTGGATGATTCAAATTTATCATTAAATAATGAATTGGATCACTCAAATAAATAGTAGTAAATAGAAGAAAATAAATAAAACAAACAAGTATGTGTATATGAATATATGAAAAATTAGTGATAGTAATAATAGGTTACACAATTAACATTTGTATTACATAATTTATTTTTATGAAATGTTTATTTAAACATATGTGAAAAAACTATACAGGAAGTATACCAAAATAAATAGAATTTATTTTCTTTAGCAATATTGAAATTACAATCATTAGTGAAAGTATTCGAAGTAATATGACATCATATGCTATATGAAGAATATAAAGTCATGAATATTGAACATTCAATTTACATATAATTCAAAACGCACATTATGTTCACATTTTGTAGATTAAGTTGTAAGTTTTTATTTTTTATTTACTTTTTTTAGATTTATAAATACAATTGCAAATTACTTTTATTATTTAATTAATTTTATGTTCTTTGTATTTAGATTTATATTTTCATAAAAGAATAAGACTGAATGTTAGGAAATAAATTTATGAAATACATCCAAAGAACTTATAAAAACTATGTACTACATATCAGTATGTATAAATTTATGTATAAAAATTTGTTGTAGACTCAAATCTACAAAAAGAATATGTTAAAGAATCAGTATTTTAAATGTATGTATAATGTTTGTATTTGAGACTTTTTATAAACTGTTAGGAATGTGTAACAGTATGACATAAAATATGCTAAAATATTATAATATGCAACAAATGTTAGACTTTCAACGAATATTACAACAATTTTAAATGAATACGTCATGTATGTATTAGATACAGCTTTCCTGCTATATTATATCTACTAAGATGAAAAGTTTTGCTATAAACTGATGGTGAAATTTATAACTAAGGAATATTTCAGTCACATTGTAGATATTACAATATGAATTATACATTTTTACAATCCCATACGATTATTTTCCTGTCTTTTCCACCAGTTAAGACTATATTATTTTCTGTTGATACCGATAATGTATTAATTGGACCTAAAAAATGACTGTATTCTTAATTATCAGTAAAGTCATATGTAAATAAAGTTTTAAGTATCGAATATTCCAATGTAAATACAAGGAATTAATGTATTAATATATAGAATACTGTACCATTATGGCAATGTATTTGTGTAATAAAAACTGCTCCTTGGCGGTTCCAAACATTAATATTACCATTACTATCTCCTATTAATAAAAAACTTTTGAACCATGTTAGTGTTAGAGGTTCGTATTCTATAGTTGTACGATAAATCTGAGTACTTGTATGAATATCAATTATATTTAGTATTTTATCCTCTGCACATGAAATTATGCTTTTTCCTTCTTGATCAAACACCATTGCATTTATTTTACAATTATGTGCTGTAGAAAAGGAAATAAAGTGAATATGCCTTTTAAAATCGAGAAGATAATTATCATGAAATGTACCTTTTGCAGTAAATTGCAGATGATATGTATCCATATTCCATAAAAAAATTTCTCCATCTTCTGTGCCAGATACCAATAATGTTTCATCTCTATAAATATTCCACCAATAAAGATTTTTTAAACATACTATTTTATATTACTTACAAACCATAAGAAACATAATTTTACCCTGATATATTGATGCAAGTTACTTTAGAATCATGATCTAGTTGTGCAATAAGGCACTCAGCTGGTTTAATTTTTGTCCCAGAAGAATAGCTTTTCCATACTTTTGCTGTACAATCCCATGAACCAGAGATAATAATCTTACGACTATCACTTAAAGCTAAACAAGAAACAGCATCTTCATGTCCTTGTAGTATATCTATTACTCTACCAAATTCAATATCGTAAAATATCCTATGAAAAAAATTAATTAATAAAAAAGTGAAATATATATATGAAATATTTATTTAACATGCTTACAGTGAATTGTCCCAGGATCCGGCAACTAATATATTGCGATGAGAAGATGTATAATATGATACACAAGAGGAAAGTGATAATGATGATAAAGATACATTACGTGTTAATTTTTTATTTTTTATACTATATAATTTAAGCATTCCATCTTGTCCAACTGATATTATTTCATTAATTTCTTCCTTATTCTGTATGATAATGCTACTTACACTTTCTTTATGAGATTGAAACATTATTAATTCATGTAATTCAAAAGTCTTTTCTATAGGATTTTCTTTATTTTCTGAAAGAAATTATTTTTTATTACACATATTTATAATACATTTATATTTCATTAACTTTAATTTATTTAAATTGAGATTATATATCATATACCTGTTTCACTTGCAACTGATGCTGAAGTAGTTTTAATATGCAATTTATGCAGAGTAAGTATAGAACGTTTGGGGTGTGGTAAAGTAAAAATTTGTTTTGGTATTTGACCAAACTCCATAATTTGTATCTCCAAACCATGCCTATCATTGATATCTTTAATAGTGTCTAAGTTAACTGCTCCTTCATAGCATAAATAGAAAAATACTGAAATGCAGTATATTATAAAATAAATGTTATTTGTACGTCAACTTTTATAATTAAATAGTTTACCATTATTAGCTTTCTCTGCTTCAATTCCTCTTTGTTTATATCCAAAAATTAAATCAATCCAGTGATGAAGATTTTGAGAAACATAATCACTCTCTAACGCATTTCTTAATACTTGTACAAAATGAGCTGGTCCTAGAATTTGATAACTAATTCGTATTAAATTACAAATAATTATTTCTTATGAATTAAAAAACACATACCATTTGCCCATGGTGGTAACTGTACATCTCCTATTTTTGTTCCATCATGTCGATATCCAAAATCAATGCCATAACTATTTATTAAAAAATCACCACCATTGTTTGTGTCATAAAATTCTGGGATCAGTTCTTTAAAGTCAGACATGTTCACCAAAACATTTTTCCAAACGTCAGCTACACTGTTAGGTGTTTTTGTTGGTAAGAGTGAAACAAAAAATCGATTCTGCAGAGTCGACAAAGTAATTATTTTTACAGTACAATAAGCAATTACCATAAAATTTTACCTTGTCTGTGCAACCAAAAATTTTATACACATACATTTATTATCACTACTAGAGTCAACAACATATATATTTCCTTAACGTTCATAAATTTAATACTCTCAAAGAATCGTAGCAACACATATTTAAAAAAAAAACACATACCTATTGAACATTCTATCTGGATGATCAAATCTTCCATTTTGTAAACAAAGCATGTACTGAGGATATTTTCGTACTAAATAAAATAATACAAATCCTGGGGCACTGTAATGAGAACCATACAAAAATTTTGGTTCTGACATTTCCAAATATCGTTCCTAAAACATAATAACACCATTATCTCACTCCTGACATATATATTTTGCATATCAAAAAAGAAATACACCTTTAATCTTTCTAACCGATTTGGCTCAAGAGCTCCAATAGGCTTTGAAAGATCTCTATAAATACTAGGATCATTTAAATCCAATGTAGCAGATGTGTAATCTTGTAATACCCAAGGCATAACTGGATACTGAGTTAAATCATGAAAAGTTCTATCTGCCAAACTGAAAAATAATATTTAAGTTAAACTGTACAATTAAATATTTCAATTATTTATTAATATAAAAGTTACCTATTAATGTACAAGAGATAATCATAATTTGACAAAGAACCATTTTGCCACCTCATAGTCATTTGATCCTGAGGTACTCTTTCTAAAGAAACTGTAGGTTGATTTAATAAATTTGTGTATAATTCATCCCTGTCATTTTGAGTTTTTAATGATATAAATAGATGTTCAACTTTATTTTCAGGCTGTCGTAACCACTTTATTTCAAGCCCCTATGTTTAAAACAATTTTAAAATATCTATATCAAATTACAATGATTAGACATTGATATACAAAGCTATACTTACAATTTGGCTTAGAAGGAATCGTCGTTTATTAATATTAATAATATCATTCAGTTGTATTTTTAAAACTGGATGCTAAAATCATAAAATTATTCTTCTAATAACTTGCCTAAATTATTTATCATTGACACTATAAAATACATACTTGGTCTAAATTATTATAAGGTTGAAAATAAATTCTTGAAGTTGTTAAAAGTATTCTTCCTGGATTTATAACAAGAGGCAACACTTTATTTGCTTGAGTTTCTAACACTACCTGCTCATATAAGTCTCCTAACCATGATGTATCAAATGATACTCTAGATTGTCGAGAGTGTACAATCGCCATAATCTACATAAGAATAATAATTTAGTAACATTATTTTAAAGATTTTAGTATAATAACATACATAATGATTTTAAAATATACCATTGCATTTTGTTCAGCTGTTGGCAAAGTAGCTGCTCTAAATAACTGTAGGATTTGTGGAAGACAATCATCTATTTTTGCATAATTAAAGTAAAAATGAAAAGTAGTATTTTGGTGTATGAATTTATATGGTGCAAGTATATTTTTCTCCAACATTTTCACATATTGTTTGCATTGAACCAATAATATATTGCTACATCTTGTAAATAAAATAAAGATTGTTAATGCAAGTAAACTATTATAGTGGTATATTAAAAGTTAAAAATACAAACTTTGCTAGATCATTGTTGGATTGACATTGATCAATAGCTATAGTTTCTTTGAGTTGAATTTTAATTAAAGGCTGATTAATATCCTTATTTACAAATACTAAGGATTTTGAACAGAATTTTAATCTTCCATCTCTCCATGTTTGTTCTTCTGAAGTAGAATTATCAACAAGTTTCATTTGAACACTATAATCTTCAAAAAATATTTCTCCTGAATCCAAAAGGAGCATTGTAAACCTGATAGATTTATTTACAGTACATAACATATTATTAAATAACTTAAAAAGATATTTGTTAAATAATAATTACACTATTGCGTATAATTTTAAATTGACAAACGTAGAAATTAGTTATATTTTTATAAATAAGCACATATAATTAGAAAGAAAGATTAAATTACCTTTCTTTTTCCATTGTTGCAAAAGTAAATGCAAATTATAAGAAGGATTTATAATAAATGATACGCATAATTTGATTGAATTCTTTTTATGCACAAAATTTACGTGATCATTTCCCAGTAAATAAAATATGAACTTTATTTTAGGTTAATGACAGTATGAATCATCACATACATATATAACATCTGTGTACCGTCTGCTCAACAACTATTCACCGAAACAGCAAGGCTTGTTCTTTTTCGTGCATTCTTGCAATATAAGTTTAAATCTATAAAAATTAAAAATTAGAAGAGATAAATAGTTTCAGTTATTTAATCAAAAACTATAAACTACAATAATATATATTTTTTTCATGGTGTTCTTTTAAGTGTCATGAGTCACTTAAAGATATTGTACTAAATTGAAATATGAAAATTGTGTGATTACCATTGAGCACCACTGGTTTTTAAAGAGAAACGAGAAGAGTCGAATATATTCCGGTTTCTTCTTCTCATTCCTCAAATCACGCATATCATCAATACGACGAGCCGGTGATTTTTAACACGATTATTTTTCAATTTGTTCGGACATTTTCTTTTTTTTATGGTGACTACATTTTCTTTGTAATGGAGGAATTGATGAAACATTTATCCAATATTAGGGTACCACAGAAAAATGATAAAATATATAAGGATGAGTGTGTTTATTCTTTTGATACTCCAGTAAGATGTCATGAAGATCTTATAATTAGAGAAAATGATACAATGATAATATAATTATTTTCATTGTTTTTTCTTTTAAGGATACTTATACTGGTTTGTATGTTAATCTTACCACGTTCTTGGGATTAGGCCAGGATTATGTACAACATTATTATCAATTAACAGAAAATCCTGTGTTTCTACATATTAAAAGAAAAAGAAAAGAGGTGAGTACTTTACTATATCTAAAAAATAAAATCGTAAAAAATATGTTAGTACAAAATACAAATTGCTTATATATAATACAAAATATATGTTAATATTTATAGATTCCTTCTAAACATCAAGGAGATGGCCCTGAAAAGAAAATTACTAGATTAGCAATAGGAACAACAGATGGATTTACACCAGATCAACAAAAATATACGTACCACGAATCTTATGAAATTGTTATTCTACCAAATTTTATTACAGTACCATATCCAACAGACAATTTACCACAAGAAGTAAGTTTTACATAAAAAGAAGAATAAAGAGTAGGAACAATAAAAAATTACATGAAAAATTTGATGTATATAGGTAGAAGTTGCAATTAAATCTATATTAGAAGCAGAATCTGCAACAAAAATAGCAGAAGTAGAGGCATTGGCTGGAACTTGGGATGGAGAAATAAAGGCAGTTTCAAAGTAAGAACAAAAGTTCAAGTATGTACTAATTTAAAAAATATTCTTTTTATCATTATTTTAAATAATTATCAAATTCTTAGACATGCAGCAAATCTTAAACAATTAGATAATGGAAAAAAGATACCACCTAGTGGATGGAAGTGTGAAAAATGTGATTTAACTCAAAATCTCTGGCTTAATTTAACTGATGGTAGTATTCTCTGTGGACGTAAATTTTATGATGGAACAGGAGGAAATGATCATGCAGTAGAACATTATAGAGTAACGGGTTACTCATTAGCAGTGAAATTAGGGACTATAACCAAAGAAGGAAAAGCAGATGTGTTTTCATATGATGAAGATGATATGGTGGAAGATCCAAATTTAGTAGCACATTTAGCTCATTGGGGTATTAATATTGCTCAAATGGAAAAAACTGATAAATCTATGATAGAGCTTGAATTAGATCTCAATCAAAGATTTGGTGAATGGGTTGCACTTCAAGAAGCAGCAAGTAAATTAACACCTTTGTATGGACCTGGGTATACAGGACTTGCTAACTTAGGAAACTCTTGTTACTTAAACAGTGTGATGCAGATGTTATTCGCGATTCCAGATTTTTTCAAAAGGTTTGCAACTTGATTTTAAATAAACAAATAGTATCATGTAAAGCTTTTTATGTTGTATAGGAGAAAAGTTTAATCAGTACTATAACAATTATTTAATTAATGTTTTTATATATTTATTTAATGTTTTAATGAATTTCAGATTTGTAAAAAGTGCAGCACAGATACTTCAGCAGAATTACACTGATCCAGCAAATGATTTTAATGTTCAAATGTAAGTTAAGAAAAAATGAAAGTATGGCATATAAATTTACTTACCAATTTTAAGATACAAGAAATTAATATTATAGGAGTAAGCTTGGAACTGGTTTACTTTCTGGTAAATATTCAGTTCCTCCAGATACGAACAATGAACACGAATCACGTCAAGGTATTCCACCACGGATGTTTAAAACATTAGTCGGCCGTGGACACCCCGGATTTTCTTCAAATCGACAGCAAGATGCGCAAGAATTCTTTCTTCACATCATAAATATCATAGACGTAATATTGTCACATTTTATATTTTTAATAGACATATAAAAATAATCTACTTCAATTTTCATATGAAGTTACAATACTAATATCAGGAAATTGATCGCACAGCGTCACAGTCGTCATCAAACGAATCCTACTGATTGTTTTAAATTCCAAGTTGAAGAAAGGTATCAGTGTAGTCGGTCTAACAAAGTAAAGTACACTTATCGTACTGAATACTTACTACCACTTCCAATACCTGTAGAAACTGCCATAAATAAAGTAAATGATTTATATAACTTATATATCTAAACTAAAAAATATACATTTACTTAACATATATTGCATATAGGACGAAGTCGCAGCTTATGAAACATTGAAGAGCGAAACTGAAGCAAAAGGACAAAAATTGGATACAAATGCGCTTGTCAGACCACGCATAAAACTATCATCTTGTTTGCAAACATTTATTCGGTCAGAAATAGTGGAGCAATTTTATAGTTCAGCTTTAAATGAAAAGACAACAGCGCAAAAGTAAGTTATGATGCATATAATGTTTTACTGCACATAATTAATAAGCGTACTCTTTTATAGAACGACTAGACTCTCTACTTTTCCGGATTATCTATTAATTCATTTAAAAAAGTTCACGATGAAAGAAGATTGGACACCAGCGAAGTTAGATGTAGCAGTGGAAATGCCAGACATACTAAACTTAAGTTCTCTTCGAGGTTTTGGTTTGCAACCCACAGAAGAATTATTACCGGAAACAGTTGGCACCGAACCTCCACCACTTGTTTATGATTCCGTGATATTGAATCAGTTGACAGATATGGGATTTCCACCAGAAGCCTGTGAAAGAGCTCTCTATTTTACGGAAAATCGTGGTTTAGAAGCAGCCACAAACTGGTTAATGGAACATATCGCGGATTCGGATTTTGCGGATCCGTTTGTACCACCCGGAATTGATGTTAAACCAGGTAACTAATCCTTTTCTCCAAATTTCCCTATAAATGAATTTAATAACATTCATATTTGTTTTTGTTTATTCAATCTTAGAAAAAGACAAATTTATGGCAAATGAAGATGCTGTGGCTATGCTAATGGGAATGAGTTTCACAAGAGAACAAGCAACAAAAGCGCTTAAAGCGACTGATAACAATTTAGAACGCGCAGCAGATTGGATTTTTAGTCACCAAAATGAATTGGATGCTTTAGAAGTTGAAGACAAACCAAAACATTCCAAAGAAGTATTTAAAGACGGAACCGACCGTATGTTCGCTTTTCAGTATTTAATAATGCAAAGAATTACTCATATCGAGATAATTGTTGTATTTTCATATTTTAGAATATAAATTAGTAGGATTTATATCACATATGGGTACATCGACAATGGTAGGACATTATGTGTGTCATCTTCTGAAAGATAATCGATGGGTAATATACAATGATGACAAAGTATGTGTCGCAAGTATAAAATAAATTGTAATATAGTAAATGCACTCATTTAAATCGTTTATTGCAGGTTGCATTATCTGAAAATCCACCAAAAGAATTAGGATATATATATCTATATCAACGCATTGATTAGATTACATTATTATTTTGTATAAAAAATGTATTCTATTACACTTCAACAATAAAAAAATGTAATAAATAAAGAAATTCGTATCTTTTAATTTATGGAAAGACATTTTCAATTTAGAAACATTTTTTGTCATACGTAAATGATTTATTGTTTCTGCTTATGGTTACTTATATAATTTTATACATAAATAAAAATATGTAAAAATGTAAATTTATTTTTTAACAATGGCACCATTTTATGATGTGCTATATCATATTACATTTTTTATCTCAACTCGTACAGCATTATTAAAACACAACATTAATATAATTAGAAAATTTTCAATACAATAATTATGTGACAAATTTTTCATTAATATTTATTTTTTTATTATGCTATCTATTATTTATGCTTAATAGTGTTAAAATTTTGATTAATCTATATATCAGTTTTAACATACATATAAATTGTATTTTTTATAAATCTTATTAAATTTCCACATAATATATAAATATTCAACGATGGTGTAAAAATATATTTTCAAAAATATTTTAAGTAAAATGCCACATTGGTAAATATGTATTAAGACTACTGTACCAAAGAATGATACTTTTTAAAACAATACTGTGTTAATTCTCTTAAGACCTATGTATCATTCCAATTTAGAAATTTACAACTTATTCACATAAATAATGCATTTAATTCTTACAATTTGAAATGCACTACTTTTAATGGATTTAATTTTGTACGTATTTACATAAAGAAGTTTTGTTCCCATTACTTATTTGATACAGTAAAATACTCGTAAAATACTCGCGTATTTGCACTAAAAATGCTTTATGTTACTAAATTACTGTATTGTCACTTGTTTTTAGCTTACGACCCTATTAATATCCCTAATATTATTTGTACATTAATAGATGTATGAATATATAAAAAGATATTTTCAAAAAATATTTTTGCAGTAACATTATTAGTATATATAATAATTTAACCTTAATATTTATGATAAAATATTAGAAAGGCAGTTGAAAGGATTATTTTAGTTAGCGGTTCTAAACCTTGTATTAGCACTTCCTTCAATTATACCGACTGACGGCGGAATGACATATATGATATTTTCACCATCTTTTTTAAACGTTGGTTCATGAACTTCAGGATGTACTTCTACTCGTAATACTTTACTCTTATTTCCTAGCATACATTTAAATTTTACATCCACTGTAATTTGTAGATCAGCAGAACGTAATCTAGCATAAAATATAATATTTTAATATATACTCAAGCAGCGAAGCTTTGCATATAAAATTTTAAACAATAAATATGTACTCACTGATTATATTTATTACTTAAAATGCCAACAAGTTCTCCAACTCTATCATCTTTAGCAATGATTGACATAATAAAATCATTTCCTCGATTTGAATGAATTGTTATAAGCTGATCTTTCCCAGGTGATACACTTAAACCTGTTATTTCCGTTATTGGCATGCCTTTTTTCATATTTTTAAATTTAGAACTTTCAAGCTTGTATATTGCATGTTCAGTAACTACTAGTACACGATCCTTTGGTTTATTAAATCTATAATTATAATTTACTTATAATGGAATTAATAAAATTCAGCATGTAATGTAACAGCACTCAATACAAACCTGTTCGTTTTTCTAATAAATGCACTAAATAAAACTGCTTTAAAATGATCAGTATTGCGAAGATTATTTATTGAAGAATTAAAAATATCACTTTGAGGATTTTCATCTGGTTTGGAAAGATAATTCCCTTCCCAACGTCTATCTTGTCCCCAATGAAGTCGCTTTGAACGCAAAACTATGCCCGCAGCCATCTAAGATTGTGTTAATGTCAAAAATTGGAATTAAGAATTAGCTATCTTGATTGATGATATATATATATATACCTTCAGTCGTAGTTGAGGCCAGTCCTCTCTAGGGATAAGTCTGAGAATCATCCATGCCCACCATCTTTCATACATCATTTTTAAAGCAAATATTATGTGTCTCACAGCAAAATTTTCACAAGGCCAAGTTAAATGTTTGCCGTAATCCCGCATTGTTTTTGCATTTTGAAACATTTTTTCTAATTCCTTGATATAGGTGTACATTTTATATTTTTGATAATGTTTCATTATAATAAGGGCAGCTTTCATCTTTTTATACTTTTGACGGCATAAATATCCTCTCCATTGCTTTTGTAATAATATTACAATACCCGGGATCAAATCGGTACGTGCCTAAAAATAAATATGTTTTGAAGTATTTGTTTCAATATTTGCGTAATTTTAAATAGACAAAATTAAATAACGCTGACCTTTTCTAATGCAAAAAGTGTTTGTGGCGAACGAATAAATATTTTAGTATGTCCATATTTTACATCATTACTAAAACCTTTTTCATCCATTAAAGTACGTACACCATCTTTGTCACTACCACCTCTAAAATTTGGCCAAGTGTATTGAGATATCATCTTATACCTGATAAAGACAATTTCATTGGTAATATACTTTAAAAAATTTCGTTATGTAATAATCACATTACTTTTCTGCATATACCGTTTTAAAAATGTGTCATATCGTTGACGATACACAAAACCTGCTCTTCTAACTAATACATTTTCGAGAAGACCTAAATATCGTGCTTGATGATTTACTCTTTCTTCATCAAATACAACTGGTGACTTAACTTCATTAGGTTTTATACACCTCACATAAAATGGTTCTTTGCTTGTTAGGTTCTTAACCAGAGCTATCATGGAATTACGGAAAAGAGTTCCAGCTGTTAAAGGCCTTTTTGTTGTCTAAAATAAAATAATATAACAATAAAAATAATGTAATACGCAATTACGTAGTAAATGTATTTACATACTTTTAGAATGTTTTGTGCACCTTCAGGCCACATTTTGCTAACTATTGGATTACTGCTTTTATAAAGTAAACGTTTAAAATCCTGAAATAACGTATCTTTATTTTTATCTAAAAAGCCATTAATATTATATATTACATCTCCAGCATAATGCTTAATCTTAAATTGAATTTTATGTTGAAGTTCTTTATCCATTGGCTTCAATTGTCGAGAGGCATAATGTTTATGATCAAGTAATTTTTGATCCATAGCTTCTAGAACCATCTAGAAATAATTTGTTATACAGAATAATCATAATCTTTGTAAGTATAGTATATAATAAATAATGAATATTAATATAATAAATTAAGAAAACTGACTTCATCTGTGACTTTGCCGACATTAAGGCAAGCTTCATCCATAATTGCTATCATTCCTTTATGAGGTTGTTCTACTAAGTCACAAATTATTTGATTATTGAAATAATCAATATTTTGCCATGCAATACCTTCCCTTTTATATTCTTCTTGTTCTTGTTTTAATACCAATTCTAAAATATTAAATGTAATTAATAATAATGTATCTAATAATATTAAATGTCTATTTAATTTTTTCAATATAATAAGTTTATGTAAAATTTTCTTACCAATGAACAATTGTTGCAACTTTTCATTACAGTAATTAATACAGAATTGTTCAAAACTATTTATATCAAAAATTTCAAAACCATATATGTCAAGTACTCCAATTACTGTTCTATATCTTTTATAAGCTTCTGTATCATTTACATTAATTGCACTATTAACACGAGATACAATTTCAGTAAACAACCTTTCATATACAGCCTAAAACATAATTTAGTTGTTATTATTTAATAAAAATTTAAATAATATTTACTTATTTTTTAAATATGGGAAACAAATAACTATAAAAGCAAATATTACCTTAGCAAAGGCATCTCTACCATATTCTGCCTCTGTTGAAGTATGAGTTTTTTGCATAACTTCTCCACCTGCTGCAATAACTCTTTGTGTAAGAGCTGTACTTAATTCCTGTACACTAATAGAAAATAAATTTGCTGTATCGTTTAAAGCAGTTCTATTTTCAATGAAAAGTTTATCGTCAATAAGTTTAAAAGTAATGTTGCCCTGCAAACCAAATTTCATATTAGAAATGAAATAGTAACTTTTTAATTTTCTTCATTATTTTAGTTACAACAAACCAAATGTAATATGCCAGCAATGATATTCCAGATCGTCTGCACTTCATTTTGAGTGAATCCAAGAGTAGACATAGCTGAAGTAACTGTTTTATAGTCACTTTTATCAGTTGCATTGGTTTTATTACAATTTCCAGCACAAACATAGAAATAAGCAGCTGGATCTCGTACTAGGCGTAATTTATTTAACTCTGTTTCACTGGAACCATTTAATAACTGCAAATTTTAAGTAAACTGTTTTGCAAATACAATACTTTATGTGCAGTGAAGAAAAATAATATACAATGAAATTATTGTTAATACCTGGTAGAAACAATGAAAATTCCGTTCACCATTTTGCTGATATACAACTCTTGACTTTTCCAATAAATAGTTAGTAACATGACCACCAATTGGATCACCTTTGAAATTAAAATCTATATCCATGTATTTTCCAAACCGAGATGAATTATCATTTCTATTTGTTTTTGCATTTCCAAAAGCTTCCAGTATTGAATTAGATTGTATAAGAATATTTTTTACTCTAACAGACGAGAAAATATAATATTAGATGCTATAGATACAAACTTCTAAAGACAAATGAAATGACTTGAGAAAATTTAACAATGAGATACTATTCTTGAATGATCTATATACCTTTCTATTTCTTGTTGACCACTTAAATTGGTAACTGCAGCAATATATTTCATAATAATTTTACTTGCTTCTGTTTTACCAGAACCAGATTCCCCACTAATTACAATACAAGTATCACGACGTTGTTGCTTCATTTCTCTGTGCACTGCATCAGCAATTGCAAAAATATGTGGTGGATTTTCAAATAATTCTCTATCTAAAATATAATTTTTTAAATTGTTCTTATATATTATTTGATAATTTTTAATTATTTTGTTTAGTCAACATGTGATTATGACATTACTATGTGAAATATGATCTTTTACCTTTATATTTATTAATATAATCATTGTCATATATATTTACACTTCTGTATGGATTTATGCTGATACATACTTCTCCAATGTACGTATAAATTTTTCCACCATTGTATCTAAAATAAAATTAAATATAAGTATAATAAATAAATATAATTCAATAGAACTTTGATATATATATGTGCTAATATATAAACTTGTTTTTATTTTTGAAAAATAAATTTTATCGTCTTATCAATTATTTTTTATCATTAAATGCAACTGATGTTTTAGTTTATTTATTAAGTATTATAATATAATATAAAATTAAGGTTAAAAATTAAATACGTTTACTACGTATTCTACGTAGGAAATGTGTATTACGTATAAAACAATTTACAATACAAACGTATACAATTCATTATACTAAGTTGCGTTATCTATCTTCGTTATCAATCGCGCGCTTAAAACTATACATTTTTTCGAATGATCTTTACTTTAAAGAATATATGTATTTATTTATAAACAGAATAAGTGTCTCACTTTTAAATGAAATGTAACTAAATATGTGTTTCATACATAGAATAAAAGAAATTATAAACATTTTTATTATCAAGAATAGTTAGTTAAGTATCATGTAAAGTTTAAGATACCAAAGAACCGAAGACGATGACTCATAGAACACGGAACAAGATAAGACTTAAATATTACTTATTATAAAACTAAATATCTTTAACATATACTAATAGCTTTCTATATAAAAATGTAAACACATTAAAATATGTATTATAATTAACGATTTTATATAAATATAAAAACGGAAAGAAATGCATAAATTCATAGTTATGGAAATAAAATCCATGTTCAGGAGCATATTATCATTTGAGGGTGATCTCAGTACAAAATTTTTATGTATTCTATTATATCATGGGTATTGTATATAGGTCAAGTTCAAATCCAAATAACGAAACCGAATTGCAACCACCTGCTATACGGTTAGCCACGCCCTCTTGGTGGATTATCTACGAAATACTAACACTATCGAAACATAAACAGGACACCTGTCACGTTCTTTAAAGGAAAAGTAACTTGTATTCCTCAATTTCCCGCCAATTTCCTGATTTACCGCCTTATTCATCACTAGTCAAAACATAATCTTACCTAACTCGTAAATTTTCCACAATTTTTTCCAATGTGATTTCATCCAAAAGGACCAAATCTCCAATACCGATTTCCTCTTGCGTTGCCATTTTTTTAATAATAAATATATATGCGTGATTTATGGTTCCATATACCTCTAAATACAAATAACTTGTTCCTTGTGGAGTCCAGCTCCTTCGAACACACCGTCTTCGCCGCTAAGCGAATGACGACTGCGGTTAACTGAAACCTCTAACCTACCTTTCACCCCTCCATAATCATAACTGCAGGAGCGTTGCTGCGATGTGCATTAGCATTTACTTGGATTTTTAATACAACATATCAAACATATTATTTTACAACTATATATTTAAGATATTATTATTGCAAATAATAAATAAATTATAAAGAAACAAATTATAGTATTATAATAGACATATAAACTACAAAATTGAAATTTATTGATCATTCATTTTAGTTATTCTCTATAATATCCGCATATTTTTAAATTCTGTGTAGAATTCACAAAAAATTAATATAGTACTCAAAATGTGGTATTTTGAATTTGAATACAAATCGTATAATACAGTCCTGAATAATCGTTTCTAACACGCATGCGCAAGAGTTTTATGTGCGGAGCTATATGTATGAATCGAGTGCTATTTATGTGTGTTATTATTATTCACTGTTATTTTTGGTGATACGTATCACTTCACTTGTCATTCACAATCTTTTGAATGTTCGATATAAATGTACATGTGTTTTATAATTGGAAATCGAAATGGGTGAAAAAAATCTAAATTCACGTTTAAATAGAACTAACGATTTAGTGACAAACAAAAATTGCGCTGCACCAGTGAGGTTATGGAAAAGATTACAAATAAATGAACAGAATTTCAGTTTAGTGCTGTTTATAGTATCATTGTCTATTGTCTTGGGAAAGATATATATAAATTATGGTAAGTAATGTTCAGTCGTATTTTTTTTATTAAGAAGTTTGTCTTGTAAAGTTACTGTGTGTGTTAATTCATGTTGCATGTATTTATACTTTGTATATATTTATCTTGATATAAAATTTATTAAACATAAGGAATGCATCGTTTATGATAACTTTCTTTCAATATCTTCGTATTGACAAGCTTCAAATAATAATGCAAAATTTATGCTTTAATATACTTGTGCAATGTTGCGTCATTTGCAATCTAATTTGCGAATTTAATTTGTTTTCAATGTGTCTTAATACATTTTAAATAGAATATGCTCTGTAAACTGATCTGATATGCTATCTATTATTTACATTATTATAATTAAAACTACAAATGAAATTTTTTTTGTTCTATTAATAAATTTAGACATATAGAAATAAATTTTGTTGCAACATTGCATGTTAAATAATTTATATATTATTGTAACTGTTGATATTTTCATATCATCTCTTTAGGTAGTATTTCACAGCTGCAAAATAACGTTAAATATGTAGCATCATCAACGTCTATATTTTCAAACATATTCAATGTATTTGATTTATCACGTATATCTGATATATCAGAGTTCAAAGTAAAACAGTTAACAACTATAAGTGACAAATTTGTCAGTGGTAGTCAATACGATGATGTTGTGAATGTAATGACATCATTTTTTAAAACATATGGATGGCTAATAAAAGCAGCAGTATGTGGTCTTATTATGATGGGTTTTACTTGGTTTATAATTTACAAAGATAGCAGTATTCCTGGAATCAATCCACCTTCCCCTTTTAGTCCCTCTAAACAAAGGTAAGTTAAAGTTTGGAAAATTTACTGTATATAATTACTGTATGTAATTAAATTAAGTGATATTTAATCATATTATTTATATATTATGTAACTTGATTATTTTTTTATATAACTTTTTAATTGCTTCTTCTGTTACATATATCTCATTTCTTTTTCAGATTTTCAAAGGTATCAGGAGTACAAATAAATTATTTGATTGGAATATTAAATGGAATACTAATTTTTGTCTACATGTGTCTTTAATACGTTAGAAGTATCATAATAATATGGTAGTGTTTACTTACTTTAAACAGGATTGTATAACATTCTACAGTGATCATATTTATTATTATTTATATTGACTAATATTATTAATTTAATTAGTAGTAGTAAGTAATTTATGTTGTGTGATGATATCAAAAATAATATTTTCAACTAATGATATCAAAATACGAAAATGTGAATCTTATAGTTATGTAGTTTAAAACAATGATATAACTGGCTTGTTTAAAGATATGTATATTTAACAAAGCATAAATTCTTATTTTCTAATTTTCTAAACAGAAAAGATGTTATATAAAAGTACAACATATATAAATATAATTTATGGAATGATATGCAATATTTTATATATAAAGTTATGGAAAGTACAAAATGCATGTATTATCTCAGATCAATCATTATTTATGTTATTTTTTCTATTTAAGACTGATTAAATATTTATCCTTATTTATTGATAAATTAAAGCTAAGTTAGGAAAATCAACATAAAGTATTAGATGTAGTACCTTTTAGTCTTATGTGCTATATATACCTATACATGTACAATACATCATTATGTCACTATACAATTGAATATTGTTGAAATTGTTTGAAAGATGTTAATAAAGGTAGTAACATTAAAACAACTATTAATTTTAAATTAAATTTCAAATGTTTCTGTTAATTGCACATATTCCTAATTTCATTGAAAGATATTGAAAAAAATTAAAAAAGTAAATTATACTTAATATGCATGTTTTGGTTATACGTTAAACTATTAACATCTTTGCAACAATAAATTTTAATAAATCAATAAAAACTAGTTACGTATTATCTGGGTATTACGAATCATCTATTCCACTTAATACTATATGCCTAGGTGGAATAGTGATTACAAGTAGAATCTATTATATTTGTCTATTATAGAAGTTTGTTGAACATAATGGAAATTATTTTGAAGAATAAAATTATTTAATTAAAAACAAGCATTATTTCACTATACGCTGCCAAAAAGATAAAAAATTTCTCATTCGATCTGATACTTCATAATTTCAAAAATCAGTGGCAGTTTTGCTAATAGTCTAATAAACTTTTGAATTGCATAAAACTATAATTATGATAACAGCCAATTAACTCATATCATTTGATATTACCCTATCAAATATTACGATTCAATTAGTAATAACTGTTAGTAACTTTATCAACTTCCGCGGTTAATTTGAATATACATATATATAAATTACACTTAGTATTACATTAAATTACACAAAACCTCCGTTTCTCTGAACTTTGACCTGAACAACCGGTATTTTAGAACATATAACACGAGTTTCCGTAAGATGTCAGGGCAAGTCTATACCTTGTAATAATAAAATATGAATACATACATACGCATATGTGAGTAGTTAATAAGGTAATTGTTTAGAGCATAGACGAGATATAAGAATCAGCTCTAAACTGCGAAAATCAACATGCGCAATTTGTCTAAAACAAAAAAAGATTTATTCCGTGATACTAGGTTGCTATTGTTATCTTTGAACTAATGTAAAAAGATTATCATATGTGACACAAGAAATACATTATGTTTTAAATTTTATATTTTGTCAATTTAGTTACTTCTATTTCCATAAGTTGACAAATAAATATGTAACTGTCTGTTATTGTTTCTTAAGTTATTTTAACAATAATATGTAATGTCTATAAAATTACTACTATTTCTTTACTTTATTCATAAAAATAGATGTAACAAATCAAAAGAAATTAAATCTAATTGCTGTCTTAACTTTTCTTCTTGTTGCATGTTATCAAACCATCTTGAGACATGTACATATTGAGCTTTCTCTTGATGAGTTAATTCCCGCTACAACACAAAAATAGGTCAAAGAGATTAGATTGATCCATACAATCTACTAAGGATTCCCATGCTCTACTTATTGCACTTTATTTTCATTACCATTATTGAATGTAGAGCATAATACAATGTAACATCAGCAATGGTTTTCTCTGTACCGGTTAAATATGTCTTGTCTCTTAATGTAACATTTAATTCCTATAAAAATGAAATTTTGTATATATTTTGTACATTTCTAACTCAATTAGTGCAATTTTATATTTTTTTAATTTTATTAAATAAATAATTGAATAAATTGGATTTTAATTACCTGCAAGACTCTTTTTGCATTAGCAGGAGTATCAGCGTAATTAACGCAGACAACTGCATATTCCAGCCACTGACGTGATAATGCTTTCATTTCATTGTCAATACCAAGTATGTCAGGATACTTCGAATTTTCAATCAACAGTTGAATTATGGTACTAAACCCTTCTATCTTTTCATTTGATTCCCTTTCCGTAGTAACGATTACCTATAAAATAATATAAAAATCGCGATCTCGAAAGTAATTTATTTTTATATAAAATTTATTATTTTACATTTTCTTGCATTTCTAGTGGTAGCGGTGAAACATCTAAGTAATTTGAAATTCTTTCTAAACATTCTACGTTACATAAAACCATTGTTTAAAAATTTCACACTTCTTCGACCTCTTGTTTTTGTACTGGTTGCGGGATAACTTTTAGGTTATGTTCAAAAAGAGCGCGATATATAACGGTATAATGTCATGGTTTAAATAAACGTTCGATATATTTTAATGATTTATTTTATTCAATGCAAACACTTGTATGGAATATATAGTAATAAAGTATACGAGATATATTTAACATTAGTTAGGGGTTTATTTTAAATATACAATTTTGTTATAACATCTGTATAAAATTTGCGGTTGACTATAATAAAACGGTGTATTGTATTTTTTTAATTCATATATTTAGGATTATATAATTAATTGACTTAGTTTAAGTACTTAGGCTTAAATCTTTCATCTCAAAAGATAGCTTATATTAAATCAGAATCATAAAAATATATTTTGATAAATTATATTAAAATAGCTGATAAAATATAACACTGGAATCTAGTGAGATATTTTTTTATCACGTTACAGTAGGAATGAATACACAACTAATAAACAATTAAGTTGATTAAATTTCTTTCCAATAGTGTTCCCATAGTTTGGCATGTAAATTCTGGATTTGTTTTCTTTATCCTTTTCTTGCTGCATTGTGGATTTTTAAGGATACTACATACCTTTTATTTTCTTATTCATTAATTTTATCGAAATGTTAATGTGATTTTATGGGAATTTCAAACAATATAGATTTTGGCATATAAATCAGATACAAAGAATGCAACAAGAAAAGAATATTACAGTAATATACAGCTATAACTCGTTTGACAATTCAGTCATAAATGTAACATCAATCAAACAGATTAATCTACTTAAAGGGCGAGATACATGTACATACATGTAAATAAATTGAATTATTAAAGAAATGTGAAAAATTTTTTCATGTAAATTTATAGGATTTTTTATAAATTAATTGCCAGTGAAATTCTTCTCTTGTATCGATGAATTTTTTTTACACATATATGTGTAAAGAATACACATTGTATTTCGTAAATACATTATAATGTAAGTACATTACATGTAAAATAATCGTGAAGTAAATTTCACTTGTCCATTATCAAAAAACAAATTGTTCATAAAATATTTTTGCGTAGTTATATGTTTAGGTATAAGCAAATATATGAGTTCACATAATTCGGGGAATAATTTGTTAAAATTGACAAATTATATGCAATTAAATGCAGGTACTTCTCCTTTTGTAAGGTGCTCATTTAATATTTACCTATTTAAAAAAGTCTTTTTTCATATGAGAAAAGGCTATGAACATTTCCTTCTTGCTGAGCAGAATGTGTCCTTCTTTCAAATTTTAATTCTCCACTATACATCATAGATCTCAAGGTAGAGATAGATTTTGCTCCAATATCTTGACATCCATGCTTAATGCCACATAACAGATAGGGTAAGAATTTTAAAACAGTTCCTTTGTCAACTATTGAGCCACTAACACCTTGAGCTACTTTCAATTTGTCCATTTCATTATGGAAGTACCTATCCATTGCTGAGCCATGTGCATCTTTTCTATTCATAGCTTCTAAGGAGCCCATACCTCTATATTTCTTTAGACGTACACCATCGCTAAAAAAATATTCACCTGGTGCCTCTGAAGTACCAGCCAATAAAGATCCCATCATGACTGTGCTAGCACCTAAACTTAAGCTTTTAATAATGTGCCCAATAGATTGAATACCACCATCAGCTATAATAGGTACACCAAATTTCCTTGCATATTCTGCAACTTTATATACAGCAGTTGCTTGAGGTCTTCCCACAGCCATAACTTCTTGAGTAATACAAATAGATCCACAACCCATCCCAACTCTTAAAGCATCTGCTCCAGCTTCTATAAGATTTTTAGCTTGCATAGTTGTTACAACATTTCCTGCAATTACCTGCAATTCTGGATATTCTGATTTAATGTACTTAATCATATCAATTTGATATTTGGAATTGCCTTGAGAAGAATCCAAGACAATAACATCAACACCAGCTGTAGTAAGATGTTGCAGTCTTTGTCTATCAGCATTGCGTGTGCCAATAGCAGCACCAACTAATAATTGTTTGTTCTCATCTTTACTGGCATTTGGATAACTACGATTTTTTTTTAAATCAGTTCTTGCCATTAAAGATACTAATTCCCCTTTTTCATTGACAATTGGAAGCTTCCCTTTTTTAGACTTCTCAAGAATTACATTTGCTTCTTGTAATGTAACACCAGCAGTTGCAGTAATTAAATTTTCTAATTTTGTCATTATTGATTCCAATTTTATGTATTGTTGATTTGTTGTACTTTCCAAAAAGTCAATATCTCTAGATGTTATAATACCCAATAGTTTTCCCCCAACTTTTCCTGTATTTGTAATAGGGACACCAGAAAAGCCATGTTCAGCTTTCACATTTAGGACATCTTTGACTGTGTGATTGGGTGATAAGACTACTGGATCTCTAATGAAACCATGTTTATATTTTTTGACCTAGAATCACAAAAATTAGATGAAAAAGTTTAAACACATTAATGTACAATTTGAAAATTTAAAAACCTCCAGTTACTTCCTTATTTTTAATATAAGAATTATGAGAAAATATAAGCATAAATGAGATCAATATGACTAATTCAATAAAGTAGAAGAAATCCCCTATAAAGCTTCCTTAATAATTTTTCCTGACAAGATATTATTTACTGTTAAACTATATGTTATCATTGAACATTAATGTTATTGTTCGAATAAAAAAAATCATGGATATATAAGATGAGATGAAACCTGCAAGCCATCTATATGAATAGCAAAAATCGTGAGTTGCAATAAAAATTTAGCAATTATACTAGACAAACGAAAATATTTAAATTAAAATATATATACCTTATGTACTTCATTGGCTTGATACTCGGGCGTACAATTATGATGTATTATTCCAATTCCTCCACATAGAGCCATGGCAATAGCCATGTCGGATTCTGTAACTGTGTCCATGGGAGATGATACCAGCGGTGCTTTAATCATAATCTTCTTCGTTAACGGCGATAATAAATCAACCTCGTCGGCGGTAAAATCAATGTAACCGGGTAAAATAATAAAATCATTATACGTAAGACCGTCGCCGGTAGCGAATAATTGTGCTGCTGAAAGGCCATCATCCGGTAGAGGTATATCTGCCGGTTTTGTGTCACCGATCACATAGTCTGCCATCGTACTTTTCTTAATCGACGATTATTTGTATCCTTTTTCACCGCAGAAAATTGTTTAAACACTAATTAATATTACAATTTCTGTATGACGAGATGATATATACACACTTTTGCAGTACCGATGTTAAAAATCGCGGGTCTCTCCCATGTATGTCAAACCGGAGATCTCCAGGCAAAATGACCGAAATCAACGTGCGCACAGTGCATTTGTAGTTTACGAACTTACGAAGGGTTAAATATGTTTCCTATGTTCGCCTACTGATGACAGTACCATCGTCAGCGATGTTTTACGAATGCAGTCGAAAATGAGCGATGTCGTAGTACAGACGTATACCGCGTTAATTGGGCGTCGCTATTGTCACTATACACAGTATACGCAATTCTTGGAACAGATTTTAATTTCGTGGAGGCATTTGCATCTCAGTTGCATTCAATGGAAAGGAGAGATACTTAAAATTTCTTAAAAATACACTTACCTCCCCGATAACTGATTAGATAAAGTTTAGATCCATAGTCGGTCGGATCCATAGACCGGAGCACTACTAATAGGTTGTGTGATAATTCCGTTTACATTTTCTTGGATGGATTTTCTTGCTGGATTTAATTTCATTTTAGGGAATACAAAATAGTCTTTTAATAGTTCTCGGCGTGTAGAATTCAAAAATAAAAGTCTTTAGGGATCCAGCGGTCCATGCGTATGTAAAACGTGGCATCAAAATAACCGTGTAAAATATGTTAAAATATGCTCAAATTTGTATTCGCATAACTTTTGAACCGCCAGATTTCTAAAATTAAGACTTGCATTTTTGGATTCTATGCGTCGAAAACTATCATAATATATAAAAAAAGGCCAATAATTTTATGTTCAATTGGTATGTGTAACAAGTTGGTAATTTCCTTTATCGTATATCTTGAATTTTGATAGATTAAATTCGCAGTTCCGTCCGCATTAGTCGTTGATGACCCGACACTTCGTTTTCGATTACTTAAGTTAAATTGGAATTTCCATATTTAAACCTTTTGATCCGCTTTTAAATGGTCAATTTATTGATTGGTGTATCACTATAAACATTACAAAACTTTTTTTATCTCTTTTGTACTTTTTTCTTCTGAAAATAAAAAGGAATTGAGCGGCGAAAATGAATATATTGTTCGCTCATCTCACAGACGCAACGCACTTTACTTGATCAAGACAGAAAGAAACCTGGCCGATATTGATACTACAGATAAAGCACATCCAGACCGTATCTAATTTGATAGGTATAAACATTGCAGTCAAAAGTCAAAATAAGCAGCAATTAGGGATAAAGATATCACTTCTCCAGATGCGTACCATCGTCAATTAATATAATTTGCTATTCTACTAGTAAACTACAATTTCATTATAAATATTGATAGATACTTTGATAATTGGAAAAAATATATAATATCGATAACGTAAATAGACGATGTTACTGATATAATTAAAAGTTTATGGAGATAAATAGTCTTCAGATGACATTTTAATTGTAAATATGCATATACAAATTGCGAAACATTTACACAGAGAATTAATTATAAAAATACCTGTCTAATACAAAAATAAATACTAATCAATATGCAAAGAACAAACAGTAGTAAAATATGTAAACTTGCACGTAATGCGGGGACCATCGTTAATTTTATGTGATATTGGTGCATTTCTTACATGCATGCTAGAAATCGTATAAAATTATATAAAATTTAATGTCACTCTTTCATTCATTTAACGTTAATGAATTTTATAATTTCGTTCATAATCTTACTGGATAAAAAAAAATTTGTTTTAAACCATTGAATACACCTCCAAATGCTTCTTTAAATGAAGAGAAAATATATTCCACTACCAGTTCCAAATAACTTAAATTTTCGTAGTAGTCATCGTATTCTTCGTAATAAAAATAGTCATACAACATTGGTAAAAATATTATTAGAATATACATCATACCACCAAAAAAAACTAAAAATTAAAAAAAGTAATATATAATGGACTATTTAATAAAGATTAATAACTCTAAATTTGTATATAAAATGGATATTTACTAATGGATTTAAGTTCCAAAAATTTTTTATCATTCGTTCTATACCCATTACATCCTACTTTATTAGTAACAGATTCATCTGTAGCTAAATGTGAAATCTTCTTTGTATTAGAATTTTGCGCACTGACTATATGATTTAATGATGTTTTCATATTATCATTTATGTATAATTGTTCTGTTTGCACAATATTTGATTCAAGATTCGAGTCTCTGTATAGTTATGAAAAATAAGTTATTACTCTTTTAAAATATATACATAAATCAATTGTTTATATAACTTACAATGCTTTATTAATCATAGTAGAAAGAGCTGTGCATTGTTTTAACGTTTGAAGTTCAGGATTTACTTCTAATTGACTTCTTAATTCCTGATCATATACTTCATTTACTTTCCCCTTATTTCTTTCTTCAGGTGTATCCATTGTTAAATTATATGAATATTGCTGTTCTATACTGCTTGTATTCTTTATTTTGTGCCTCAATCTGTTATAATACTCCCAGTAACTTTTATTTAGCAATTCTTGGGTTTTTGGTGAAATACCTTTTGATCTTTCAAATTTATCACCTGTATTTGATCTTGGAGAAATTTCATACTTGTAATGTTCTCTTTGCAAACATGTCCGTGATAAACTTTTAGTAACTTCTTGCCTTGAATCTATATGTTTATTGCTTTGCAAATAATTTTGTTCAATAAGATTCGAGACATTGCTAATTTGTGTATTCGTATTTCGTTTGTGTGTAGGAACAGAATAAAAATGTTGACTCATATTTCTTGCCTTATACTTACTGAATTTATGAATATTTGTATGATTGCGTTTGTATTTGTTATATTGACAACTAGGCCATACTAAAGTATAATCAGAATCTACCAATGCTGAATGAGAATTCTTTTGAAAATAAGATCTAGCTTTCCTAGAAAATTTTGCTGATGTCTTTTTTTGTTTAAATGTGATATATGGTTCTGAATTGCGACAAAGTTTCCTGGTACATCCATTTTTTTTAGAAGATAAATATTGCTCGGATTTATTTCTACCTTTTGTCTCACAGATACCGATTTTGTAATTTTGATATAAAGATTGATTTTGATCAGTATTTTTTGATATATAATTTACTTTATCATGATTGTGACTCAAAACTTTGATATTATCATGTATAGCGTCAGTATTAATATTATTACCTTTCTTTGTGGATTCATTTGTATCAATAAATTCTTTTTTAAATATGATTCTTTTTCTAATAATTTCAGAATCTGTTGTTTCTTCACCACTTGCATCACATGTCATTTTTCTCATTTTTAAACATTGGAAAACATTATTATGTATGTTTCTTTTATTTATATCGGGAATATAATATTCGGAATCGCTAGATTCTTGTTGTTCTTTCTGAATATTTAAATTTGGTAATTTTTCAGAAACAGCTGAATTTTCTGGAAAGTCTGGTGTGAAACAACTTTTTCTATTTTCTTCAAGCGCATTACTTTGTACCACTAATGTGTTTTTTCTCTCATAGATATCCTTTTCTTCAATATCTGAAAAATTATGATTTTAATAAATAGAAAATAAAGTAATTTAAATAGTGTTTATAAAATTATTACTGTTAATGAGGGATTTGCTTTTATTCTGTGTCTGGTTTGAATGAATACGGTGTTCAGATTCTTCCTTCATTACAGGTGGAGTTTTGATTTGGTTCTGGTATTCCGAATGATTTATACATCGTTGTATTACATTACTTGTTCCTGTAGTAGATACTTGCATTGCAAGAATTGGAAGTTGTACATTATAGCATTGATTAACATATTCTTGAGGAACAGTAATAGCACTTAGAGGATGTGATTGCAGTTTTTTGTCTAACACAAAAAACAACTGCCCATTACTTTCCTAAATACATTAAAACGATAAAGAAATTTGGCCTGTTATTTATATTTCTAATAAAAATATAATTATATATATGAAATATTAGAACATATACTTGTACTGGCATAGAAGAGATGTCCACCTGAGTATTTGCATCATTAACTATTGATTTTGATATATGTTCAAAAGAGTTCACATTCTTCACACATTTATCTTTTTCTGTAATTTCATTTTTATTGCCACCTTCTGAAATATAATCTTGTCTTTTTAATTCTGAGTTTTTTGTGTAATGAGTTTTTTCTAATTGTAATTCTTTATTAATATCAAGGATATGATTTGCCTTATAATTTTGTGTTGATTTAATTTCCTTTTCTTCATGAAGCTTTTGTCCTTTCTCTATTTTAGTTTGTTCCCTAAAATAATAGTAGTTGTAAAAATCATAATTGTAATCATGCAATATACTTTCAATTAAAATTGACATATACCTCTCAGGCATTAATTTTTCTGTTTCTTCTGTATGTAGATGTTCTCTAAAAGTAGTAATATTAGATTGATCCACTTCTTTCTGTAATGATTCAGTTGATGTAACTTGATTCTTCTTAATATTTGTCACTCTGCTTAAAAATATTTAAGCATATTTTTATATTAATGTTAATTTTTATCTATTTCATATTTTGAGTTTTCATAAATGAAATACTTTTTAAAACGAGGATCGACGTAACCAGGAAATTTTCTCAAAGTGTACATACTTGAAGTAGTTTTCTGATGATGAAAAGAAGAGTATGCACTATCTTTAGTTGCTGTAGATTTAGGAGATCTGTGTTTCCAAATATGTAGATTTACATTTTTACCAATACCAATTACATAAAGCTTTGGAACATTTAAAATTAATACTTACTGATTTAACGACGTTTGAACTATAGTACGACTCCTGGGAGTTCCATTTAATTTGACTATACATGGAGGTTCAATAGTATCACCATCATTAGTTAATTTACGTTGCGGTATTTTAGGCCAAGAAGGATCAGCTGGTATACTAAAATAGTTTAAAATAAAAAGTATTTTCTAAATAAAAAATAAACACTTAACTTAATCTCTTACCGTAATGATCCAGCATTGTACTTTTGTGAAACTGGTAATAAATTTTCACTGTTTACTGAAGTAAAAGTATATCAATTAAATGCTGTATTGGACTTTTTTTGGACAAAAGGTATTTTGAAAGTTCCTTACTTTTTATGTGTAATTGCAGAGCATTTGCATTATCTTGATATGCCATATTGAAGTAGTCATGCATTTCAATACTTTCCACTTTTTTCAAAGCATTTGTAAAAGTAATTCCTGGACTAATTATATAAATTATTAATATTAGAAGAAATACAAAAACTGTATAGGTTTAACGTTAATTTCATGTTTCACAAAGTAATAGTTCTATACTTCAAGTAAAATTATTTTTGTTTTCCTGAATTCAAATGTTTTTTCTATGTACAATTATAAAAAGGTTTTCATATTGAAACAATTATTTTTATTCTTAATAAGAGCCAATAACTTTTTATACAGAAAGATCAAAGGTGTTATGATAATCAGTCATTTTGTTTTATTAATGACAGATGTATTTATGTAACATGTATATCACTCTAATCTTAATATTCAAATATTGTATGTACAATAAATATACAATTGTAGTAGATGTAGGAACAATTAACTACGATCTGCATCTTATAGCTTGATTTATATTACACTAAATTAAAGTATATTTGCGCACCATAATAGTTATATCACAATATCAAGCTAATTGTACACTTATATATGGATTTCTTAATTCTGTTTATAAAATATTACAATCTATGACATAACGAGTATAACTCTTTGTTATGTATGTGTATGTATACCGCATATGTGCAAATTTAAAATCTGTGTAAACATTAATTATAACTTATTTTTACATATTTCCATTTTGGAACATACTAAAGAAAATTGTACATATTGTTTTAATAAAAACATAGAAGTTATTAACATCGTTTTATGAGCAAAGTCCGTTTTTATAAATAAGGAAATTGATTATAGATGTTATGTTATGTGTAAAATATACACTTCGATCAAGCAATCTATCAGTACAATTATTTTGACTAGATTTAAGAAAGATGATAGAATTATCATTTTTATCAAATATAAAAGATGTATGCCATAAAATGCATTGATGAATATTCAATTTTCCCTAGCCACCATATTTCTTAGTATTATCGAATTTGAAATTGGTCCAAAATCTAAATATAATTCCATTATAAAGGTCTTACATCATTAAAATTGCATAGATATCTCACTGGCGTTGTCTTAAAATTTAGGACATACTGCGTTTTAAATAAGTACATAATATTTAACAAATATTTTTATATAATAATATATGCTAAATTATTTTGAAAATATACAACAAAATATAAATTAAGCTCTTCTACATTTTTGATATTTTTTCTATAAGTAATTTTTAAACAATACTAAAAAAAAGAAATATTTAAAGAAATTATTCAAGTAATACTTTAGATAATGTAATATTGATAATAAATATAACATAAAATTATTATCGATACCTTGATTAAATAAGAAGATATTATTATTGAAATAAGTACTCTGTTTTCCAAACTTTTTTTAGACTCAAGTCTATGTAAGTGAAGAAGTGAAATGTTAGGAAGAATGAGAAATTAAAGAGTGCACGCAGCATTGATATCTTCATACATCACTATTGCAGACATACTTAAATAATAGCACAATGTTAGTGATGAAAACAATGTCTTTAACATACTTATCACAATTTACATTATCAACATTATTTTACATAAAACATCACAATTCATTTTCAATTAATGTACTATAATTTTTTTAAAAATCGCAGGAAATACAAAAGCTAAATATAATTTTTAACACTCTTAATTCTGTATGCATTGTAAATAATATAAAAATTTCTTTGAAAAAAGAAAACAAGGAAATAAGAAATCAGCATAATAAACTTTTTTAAGAAATACGGACAAGTATTCTGCTATTTGACTTTTATAAAATAGTGAAAAATAACATTCTTGTGAGTTTTACTTTTAAATAATATATATATATTGAACAATGTGCAATTATTGTCTGGCAGTATCATAATATTCTGCACATGAATGAAACTTAATTTTTATGGCAAATTAATATAATGACATATATATTGTAGAAAAGAAATTATGATCATTAATTTAGAATGCTTAACATTGCTTATATAATGCTTCGTGAAAATGCTTTGTAATTAAATACACATACATCATTCAGTTATTTATATACAAAATCCTTTTATTAAAGAAGGTATTCATATTGAGAAGACATATACACAATATACTGATAATGTCTTATGCATATTGACGAAGCATTTGTTAGGTGTAGAAATATACATACACAAAACACATTTATTACATATCTTTTTCATTATTGTCGAATTAAGCTTCGTGTTCGCCGCTACTTATTCCTATGAGTGATTCTGTTTGCTCTGCTTCAAGATCTGGTATTCTAAAATTAAAGATATGTTTTTTTAATTTCATTAAAATTGAATTTTATATAAGAGTATTACTTTTTAAAGTAGATTACCTTATTGATCTATTTTTTCTACAAATCCAGATGTATATTCTTTTTATTAAATCCATGACTGGATCCCAATTATCATAATAGGATAGAAAAGACACAGTCAGAAATGCTAATAGCATTGGTATGGTTCCTAGATAGAAAATACAAGGGTACTCGACCTTTTTTAATAACACATCAGCTATCATTGACATTGGCATGAGTAAACTGATTGCCAAAGTTGCAATGAGGGATGATGTTAAAAAGCAGCCCCTACAAGTAGGTATGAGACAAATATTAAACATATTAAGTCAGAAAAATTAAGTTTAATACTTCTTATGAACATACCACAACCAAAGCACCTCACTTAAAACTGTACCAATCAAACCATTAATAATTAAAAATGTCCATTGATGAGTATCTGGCCATTCAAATTCTTCCCAATGGCCATAATGAAGAATAAAAAACACAGGCCATAGAAGTGTCAAATTAAAAAGTCCAACAAACCCAAAGAACATTGGAATATCCATCTTATCTTCATGATCCACCTTTCTCTTAAGAAATACAATATAAGCTGCATAAAAAAATGCACTGACTAGAGCCAATATTATGGCTGTAGGTATTCTACTAGTTTCTACAGTTAAATCTGAAAGACCAACTAGAACCTATGAAAATAAAGAAGTGTAGAAATAATGTTTTTCTATATTAAAGGCTTTGCTGAAATTATACATACTAGTCCAAGAATACTGATAGAGACAGCAACTAATTTAGACAATGTAAACTTATCCCCACCATTACTAGGAAAGAAGGCAGCTAGGAATAAAGTAAATAAACTAGAAATTGATGTCAATACAGTTACAACTCCTGATTCAGTTTTTACTAATGATATTTGATAAGTATAGTTTGCCATAAACCACTGCAATAAAAAATATTTATGTTAATTTTAAACCACATATAGTTCTAGCCTATTAAATTAATACCTACAAGTAAACAAAACATAAGTGCAATTTTAGCAACTTTTTGAACAGAAAACTTATTAGCCTGTCGTCTTGCATGTTCTCCAGCTCTCAAGCTTGCTTGATAACTAAGTCTTGCCAATAATGCTTCCGTGGCATCACTTTCTGACATATGACGAACTTCTGCTAATTTACTAAATCTTACTGAGCGTATTGATGAATCATCGCTTTCTGTGCCTGAAGAACGATCACAATGATCTGGTGTTTTTATTGGAACAAATGTTGGATCACTCTACAATTAAATAAATTTGTATTATTATCAATATTAAAATTACTAACATATTAATTTGTAAATGAAAAAAAAATAAAAATAATAAAAGCAGAATTTCTATTTACCAAACTTGTGTTAGCTTCTGAATAGAAATTATCATCTTCCACATTAGGATCTATAAACTGGAATAAGAAAATGAAAAAGTAACAGAAAATTTGATTTTGTTAAAAGAATTATTTGTATTTAAATGTACCATATACGTTGCTGGTTTATTGCATTGATCCCTCCATGGAGGCCAAAAACATAAACCAAGCAGATAGAATGTGAACATTGATGTTTTTATATATGTAGTAAAAAATGGCTTTTCAAATGCTGCTTCTCTATAAATATACTGAAATATAAAACCATATTATTGGATAAAAGATATATTTTATAATTCACTGAAATATAGTATTTAAATAACCCTTACTTTAGTAAGTTCAGTACTAGAAACCCAAATGATATCAACTAATAATAAAACTAATAGTCCCAACACAAGTCTTTGAGATTTATTCATCATTGCTGCAAGTTTATGAGGATCCTCCGCCATCCCCTGCTGTCTACGCTGTCGTAATTCTACAGAACAGCTCATGATACAATCAATGAGTTTAACTTTTTTAATTATGACATCATGATGATATTGATTGCTGTAAAATTACAAAGTGATTAATGACAACTATAAATTACAAGTAACAGAAAATGTTTAAATTGTTGCTAATTTGTAAAATATTTAAATGTTAAATATAACAGAAATATAAACACACAAAGTTATTTAATACAAAGTACTATGTAATGAAATAGGTACACAAAACATAATTTGCATAATAATCATTACGTAAATTAAACAAGCGTGTTTGGAAAATAACAGAAAGAATGGAAAGAGGGAACAAACGATTAAAAGGGGGGACAAAAAAACAATGTTCAAGGTTTCACTAATTTAATTGTCTTATTTTAACTACAAATTCATGTCTAATAATGTTAAGTAAATGTAGTATTGAAGCTATGGAAAGTGTATATTTAAAAAAATATTTGTTGATTATGTTTGATAACAGGTGGACATGAGGCAAATATATATAAAACAGTGACTATACATAAGATAACCTATAAAAGTTGTAATAAGAGCAGATAACGATTTTCTATTACTCTAAGACAAAGATTCTAAATAGAATTGACTCACAATTAAAGACAAGCCTTAATTTTGTGACATTGGTATTTAATTAATATTTTAGCAATTCTTCTACATCTTGGAATTATGAAATCATGAGCACTTTATGCTCCCTAACTTAACACTTCAGTAACACTTTTCACACGTTTATATATAATTTAGATTTTTCTCGCTTGACTTTTCGGTAATTTTCTTTTATTTAAATTGGTTATAATTTAAATGTTAGATAGTTTTAACATTTCCGTTTTGTTATCGCGTCGGAACTAGTAGCCATAACCATGTTGATGTACTGATGACGTTCTGTAGTTCTGTTATCACTCTGATGGCGCTATATTGGCGATAGCGATAGGGCATCTTTAATTTATTACTCATTTATGTTTAATTTCAACATTGTTTATTATTATTCTTAAATTGTCTTCCGTAGTTTCTTTTCGGGAAATTTCTATTTGCAAATTATTTTCTTTCCTATACAAGTGTAATATAGAAATATTTTTTGGTTACTATTACATATTCTTGTTTATAGATGACAGGGATGTACGATAAAGATAGTAAAGATTGCTTAGTCCTAACTTCTGGTTTCTATTATCTATGTATGTGAGCTTGTAGGTATGGGACAAAGAAAAGTGCGCGGGAATGCGATTAATTCAATATCGACGTATTATTTTTTAGTTTCATATTTTGTTGGAAAGATAGATCTATTTCTTTTTGAATGTTAAAATTAAGAAAATTTCTATACATATATAGAATGTTGCTCTTCTCTTAAATTGATTCTTTACGAAGGGAGCTTAAAACAAGGGTTGTCATGACAAACAATAGCAACAACATATAGATGAATGTAAAGTGTTGTTCGGACGTAAAAGTAAAACATATCTGTGAATTATGTACTACCGTACTCTTGTGCATTAACAATGGCTAATAATATTCTTAGTAATGGTCGCATTCAACAACAAGCGACTGTCTCGCAACGATTAAGAAATGATAAGGGGAAAAAAGGTATTTCTTTGTATAGTACTACTTATACATTAAGACTATACATATTGTGTAAAATTTTGGTTATGTAGTATTAGCAAATACGTTTATATATATACATATATATATACAATTTGAGTGATAATATTTGGTAAAAGATAAATTAGAATTGTGGTTTTTAAAAAGATAAGAACATTTGCAACACGTCAATGAAATTGGAATTTTGAGTTCCACGACAATGAGATAACATAAAATAAATTTTCTGTGAATGGTTATCGTGGTCTTCAATATTTTGAATTTTAAAAAGATAGATATTTTACAAGGGAACTTAAAAGATATTTTTTAAACTGGGATACATATGTATATATGTTTAATACTTTTTTAATTTCGCGATATAATTTTATATTATTCTTGTAATTGAATTAGCGCTAGAAATATCAGCGATAGAGAATAACAATTGGTTGTTGCATCGACATTATACG